CGTCACCGGATCCCGCAGCACAGCGGCTGTCAGCCCCACGCCCGACGAGCCGCGCCCCGTCGTGTACTGACCTGGGGAAGGGGGGACAGTCAGAGTGGGGGGGGCCCAGCCTGTGGGGCACTGACCTGGGGGGGAAGGGGGAAGAGATGGGAGTCGGAGGGACACAGCCTTAGGGTCCCCATCCCCACCACTGCTGGGAAGCTCCTGGAGGATGCACCTGTGGGGTCCTGAATGCCCCACCCAGCTGGGCCCCAGTGCCCCCTAACCCCTGGGGTGGGGTGTTACTCACTGCGAGGGGCCAGGCGGTCGATGTACGAGAGCAGCTGGGACTTGGCCACACCCGGGTCACCCATCAAGCAGATGTTGATGTTCCCTGGAGGAAGACCGCGAGGAGCTGGGTTAGCATCAGAGCAGGCCCCCCCCACCCATCCCTAGACCCCCCCCCCCCCCCGCAGCGCTCCTCCCCCGCAGCCTCCCTGAATTTCCTCACCCCAGGGATCTGTCCCCGCCACCTCAGACTCACCCCGAATCTTCATGCCCCGGGGATTGCGGTCCACACCCCCCACCAGCAGCAGGAGCAGGGCCTTCTTCACGTCCTCGTGCCCATAGATCTCAGGGGCGATGGAGGCTGCCAGCTTGTCGTAGAAATCCTCCTCTGCACACAGCGGGGGTGGGGGAGTCATCAGGGCTGGGGTCCTTGATCCATGATTCCCCCCTGCCCCCCAACCAGGCCAGGGTGTGGGGGCTGCTAGCAGGAGGGGCAAACAGCGCTATACAGGGGAGATCTCACCCACGAGCAGGCCCTGTTCCTCCTCCATCAGCTGCCCCGCACTCAGAACGCCCAGTGCTGGCAGGAGGTGTCGGGGGGCTGTGGAGTTGGCGTGGCTCCCCGGGGGCGGGTGGAGGGAGAGGGCAGGGGATGAACAGGGCTATGGGCGGGGAGAGGGGTCACCTGTGATCTGGCGCAGCTCGTCCTCCGTTAGCTCCCCTGACCCCAGCTCGTCCTCCTCGCTCTTGTTCATCTTCACAATGCGATGCGCCTCTAGGTAGGTCTCGGAGATCAGCCCCTGGGGGGAGCAGGGGGTGCGTCACTCCAGGCAACTCGCCCAGCCAGGCCCAACCCAGGCGACCCGCCCAGCACCCACCCATGGGGTGAAAGGTTCCCCTCCCCTCCATCCCCCCAGAACTACCCTCAGCAACTGGCAGGGACACCTGGCCCAACCACCTCCCTTCCACTCAAGCCCAGCCCCCTGCTCCAGCCCCTCTGATCTGGCCCTGCCCCCCACCCTCCTCTCCCGCTCTCACCTGGGCCATCTGCCGGAAGCCAGCTCTCAGCAGGGGCAGGAAGACGCCGGTGATGCTGACGTGGTCCCCAGGCTGGGCCAGCCTCGTGTTCTCGCCGTGCACAGCCACGCTGATGGAGCGCGGGAGGTGCCCCACCGGCACCTGGTCGCTCTGCATGGGGGAAAGAGTAGAAAAAAAGCCCCGATCCAGCTGTACCCCCCATCAGGGGACCAGCCCCCCAACTCTGGCAAAAACCCCATAACCAAATAGGAGGGCACATCGGGGAGCCCATATCAATCTTTGGGGCCCCCAGTCACATGCCCCAACTCCCCTCCCCAGCCTGGAAACCCCCCTCACCCCCGACTCACATGCTCCTGCATCTTCAGCTCCTGAAACTTGATGAACTTGGAGCCGCGGCTCTGCAAGTAGAGACGCCCCCCAGAGCGGTTGGTCTGGCACTCCTGGCTTGGGCACATGATCAGCGGCATGAAAGTCGGGGACTGGATCTGGGGGTGGGGGGAAGAGAAAGAGGGTCAGCCACACACACCCCCACCCGGTGTCTGAACAGGGGACTCGGATGCTCCCCCACGCCCAGGTGGGGGGGCATGACAAACTGGGAATGTTTGCAGTTATTTAATGAGGCCTATACGTGCCTCAGTTTCCCCTGGGGGTTACCTGGCTACCCACTGAGGGAAAGGGGGTTAAGTTTGCTCTGAGGGCAGATTGAAAGACACAGGTGTGCGTGTCACCTCCTGGTCTTGGGAGAGGAAACAGCCTTGTTAAGGAACCGGATGAAACAGACCCAAACCCACAAGAGGGCCAGAGACACAATGCAAGGGCCAGTGACTGAGCAGAGACCCCAGCTGAAGAACAAAGGCCGGGAAAGTGGGAGGTGAGGGAGAAGTGCTGGCGTCTGGCCAGGAAGGAAGTCAGAGACTCTGAAAACGGGGATCTCCTAAAGCCTGGCTTGGGGAATTGCCCTGGGCTGAGCAGATCGCACGACGCTTCACCCTTCCGTTCTCTGTGCTAAACCCTGGACCTCCCGTGCTGGGTCCGTTGCCTTAAGCGTCGCTGTCAGCACTGGCTGGGGTGCGCTGGTCCCTGCGGAACAGGCATCTCTCCCAAAGCTCAGTCTCCGTTTGACTCACTGACCAGAGCTCATGGAGGCGGTGAGGCCGCGTGGCTTCCCCTGGAGGCCCCTGAGGGGTCTGGCACATCAAAGAGGTTCCCCCAAGAGACCGCACTGGTCCCGTAGCTCCGTGACAGGACGCTCGGCCCCATCAGCTTCCCCCGAGCTGACAGACAGGGCGGCAGCTCCCCTCCCTGCCAGCTCACCGGCTGGTAGGTCTCTGCTCCGCATTGGTCACAGCTGTAAGTGGCCACCACCATCATGGGCTTGACCTCGGTGACCCGGGTAACGATGCCACGGACGGTGACCAGCTTCCCGATGCAGTCGGCCTTCACGTCCCGGATCACGCGGGCCTTGGAGCCCGACGGGGCCTTGAAGTACAGCTCGCTGGGGCAGGAGGGAGAGGCAGGGAGTTAGGGACAGGGTATTTAAGGGACCCAGAGCCCAGCTCCCTGCGTGGGGAGGGCTGGGAGATCCAGGGGCCTAGAGGTGGGGGGAGGGAGCCAGAGATGTCAGAGCCCCCCTGGCTCCAGGCACTCACAAGCGGCGCAGCAGCTCCTGGGGGTACTGGTTCTGGGGCCTGTGCGTCTCCCCTGTGTCCCGGCCACGCTGCTCCAGCATCAGCCGGTGCTCGATGTACACATCTAGGACATCCTTGTTTACCACCTGGGGGGCGGACAAGGGCTCTGTGACGCGGGGGCATGGCCCCGGCCTCCCACTCCCGCCCTCTCTCCCTAGTGCCCCTCACCTCCCGCTCCTTGTGCTGGGGCAGCAGCTCGTGCACAGCGTCGGCGAAGAGGCGGCCGTAGCGCTTGGCGTTCTCACACACGGCGTCCACCAGCTCGGGGTCCTCCTCGGCCACCTCGTCCAGGTCAACGTACAGGGCCACCTGCTCCCGGTGAGCCAGACACACCTGGGGGTGGGGGGCAGGAGGCGTGCTGGGCTGAGCTGCGGGAGACCCACAGCTGCCTGCAGCACCCCCTGCTGGGAGGGAGGATGGGGAAGCCGGGAGCTTTGGGGCAGGTGGGGGGTGTTGTGGGGTGGGGGGAGGAAGGGGGGTTTCCTCACCAGCTGGTCCCGATACGGGAACACTTTCTTGCCGAGCTCGCCATCCCGGAAGAATTCCTGCAAGAAGCGCTTCACCTTCTCTGAGGGGGGAGAGAGAGAGAAAGTCAAGCCGGGGACCCCCCTCACGCACCGATTTGCCCCCCCACTTCCTCCCACCAACCCCCACACTGGCACCAACCCCCCCAAACCTCCCAGCAACAACCTACTCCACACCCAGCCCCCCAACGCCCCTCCCTACACCAGCCTCCCCCCACGGCACCCCCCCACCCTCCCCGTACCGACCCAATGTGCCACCCATCCTCCCTCCAGGCCCCCAACCCCCACCTCCTGCTGCAGCCCCCACCCCCCAACGCCCCTCCCGCTGCAGCCCCCACCCCCCACCCCCCAACGCCCCCCCTACACCAGCCTCCCCCCACGGCACCCCCCCCCCCACCCCCTCCCCAATGTGCCACCCATCCTCCCTCCAGGCCCCCAACCCCCCTCCTGCTGCAGCCCCCCACCCCCCCAACGCCCCTCCCTACACCAGCCCCCACCCCCCAACCCCCTCCCCTACACCAGCCCCCCCCATGTGCCCCCCCACCCTCCCCTCCAGCCCCCCTCCTGCTGCAGCCCCCACCCCCCAGGCCCCCAACGCCCCTCCCTACACCAGCCTCCCCCCACCCCCCCGCACCCACCCCAATGTGCCACCCATCCTCCCCTCCAGCCCCCAACCCCCTCCTGCTGCAGCCCCCCCCCCAGGCCCCCAACGCCCCTCCCTACACCAGCCTCCCCCCACCGCCCCGACCGACCCCAATGTGCCACCCATCCCCCCCCAGCCCCCCACCCCCCTCCTGCTGCAGCCCCCACCCCCCAGCCCCCTCCCGCGCCCCCCACCCCCCAGCCCCCCAACGCCCCTCCCTACACCAGCCTCCCCCCACCCTCCCCGTACCGACCCCAATGTGCCACCCATCCCCCCTCCAGCCCCCCACCCCCGTAACCTCCCCCCCCCCCCGCCCCGCCCCGCCCCGCCCGTGTAAACACAGCGGCACGCGGAGCCGTCGCGCGCCCGGATCCCTCCGCGGACGGACACGGTTGAGCCGGCCGCGGAGGCTCCGCCGTGACGTCACTTCCGGGGCGATGCCGCGTCCCGCCGCGCGGGAACCGGATCCCCCGGCCGCCAATGGCAGCCCGAGGCCCGCCCCCTCCTCCGGCTCGCGACCAATGGGATCTTGCCGGGCCCCCGGGCCGGCCGCGTGGGCACCACCCACCTTTCTCCGCGGCGTAGTCTCTGGGCGCCATAGCGCGGGGGGAGGGTCCCTCAGGCCTAGGCACTGTCGGCCCGTCGGCTACGGGTCCCCGCTGGGGTCCGTCCCGGCCGTTCGCGGCCCGTCGGCTACGGGTCCCCGCTGGGGTCCGTCCCGGCCGTTCGCGGCCCGCTAGCTACGGGTCCCCGTCGGGGTCCGTCCCGGCCGCTGCCGCCCAGCACCGCTCCCGACTTTCGCCGCTGCCGCTGCCGCAACCAAAAGTGGCGCGAAACTAGAGACCCGCCTCCTGCCACGTGCCCGCCCCGGGCCAACCAGTGCCCGGCACGTGACCCGCCCAGCCCGCCAATCGCAGCTCGGGCAGAGCGTCGTGCGGAGGCCCCGCCCACGCGTCGCCGTCACGTGACAGCGCAGCGGCCCGCGCCGGACCCAGGTTCGAGCGGACCCAGCGGGACCCCCCGCAAGCCCCGCCCCCACTTAAAGGGGCCGCGACCCCGGGGCGGGCCTGGGGGGCCCCTGTAGCAGGGGGCGGGGCCCAGGGAGGGTTCCTGCGGGCGGGAGCTCGGGGGGCAGGGGCGGAGCCGGGGCAGGTTGGAGCAGCGGGCGGGGCCCCGGGGCAGGGGGCGGGGTCTAGGGGTGGGGGCGGGGTCGCCCGGGGAAGGGGCGGAGTCAAGGGGTGCGGTTCCGGGGTTGGGGGCAGGGTTTCGGGGGCAGGGGCGGGGTCCCAGACGTTGGGGGCGGGGCTACAGGTTGTGGGCGGGGTCTTGGGGCAGGGGCGGGGCCCCAAAGGTGGGGGCAGGGTTGCAGGGGCGGGGCCCCAAGTTGTGGGCGGGGTTTGGGCAGGGTTGCAGGGGCGGGGCTACAGGTTGTGGGCGGGGTCTTGGGGCGGGGGCGGGGCCCCAGAGGTGGGGGCAGGGTTGCAGGGGCGGGGCTACAGGTTGTGGGCGGGGTCTTGGGGCAGGGGCAGGGCCCCAGCGGTGGGGGGCAGGGCTGCAGGGGCGGGGCTACAGGTTGGGGGCGCGGTATCAGGGAAAGGGGGGCCCAGAGGTTGGGGCAGGGGCGGGGCCCCAGGGGTTGGAGGCGGGTCCCGCTCACACTCTCTCCTTCCCCCCATCCCGGCAGGCTCTGTGATGTTGTCTCAGATTTTCATTCTCTCCTCCAAGGGAGACAGACTCGTCCACAAGGACTGTATCCTGCCCCCTAGGCCGCCCCACGTGTCCCCCCTGGAGCCCCCGACTGCCCCCCACATGGCTCCTGACATAACCCCCCTCAGCGCCCCCAAGATCAGCTCCTCCCCAAGGGCTGTATCGTGCCCCCCTCCAAGTTCCACCTAAACCACCCCCACAGGCCCCATGCCAGGGGTCATATCTCCCCTCTCCTCACCACGGGTCCCCTTCTTCCGGATACTGTCCCCCCCACCCCCCGGGAACCTCCTCCCCCAGAGACGTCCCGCAGATCACCCTGCGCCGGGAAGGCCACTGCTGGGGGACCGCCCAGACTCAGGGGCTCCAGCTGGGCACTGCTGGGGGGAAGCTCACAGCCACCTGCACCCTGATGGGGTCATTTTTCCTTAACCCACTCCTCGAGTCCGTGGCGAGGCCAGCGGGGGCAGCACGGATCTGGTGGACACTTTCTATAGGAAGATCACAGCCCTGCCCAGGGACCAGGCCCCCGTCTTCATGGTACTGGGGCGGGGCGGGGCGGGGGGTGGCCAGTGAATGGCACCACAATGGGGCGGGTTAAGTGTCTCTGTGGTAACAGGGGAGGGGGTACCGCTATGGGGATGAAGTAAGCGTCTCTATGGTAACAGAAGCGGGGAGCATCTCTAGTATCGCTATGGGCACAGGGGACATGTCTGTGGGGTAACGGGGGCGAGGCATTGCCCTGGTTGGGGGAGGGGGTCTGTCTAACTCTGCTTGTGTTTCCCCCACCTGCTCCCCTCCCTGCAGGCGCACGAGGGGCTGCACTTCGTCCACGTGCGTCACGCCGGCCTCTACTTCGTGGCCACGACGGGGCACGACGTTTCCCCTTTCACCATCATCGAGTTCCTGAACCGGTGAGGCGGGCATGTCGGGGGGGGTGGGTGGGAGTGACCCCGGGTTGGGGAGGGGGCAGATGGGGGGACAAGCCACAGCCCCAGGTGTGGGTGCCGGCAGGGGGACCTGGGGCAGGGACTGGGGGCAGCAGCCGTCCGCGTCCTCACCCCCGTCTCCCTCCCTTCCCGCAGGCTGGTGACGCTGGTCCGCGATTACTGTGGCTCCCTCAGCGAGAAAACCGTCAGCCTCAACTTCGCTCTCATCTACGAGCTGCTGGACGAGATGCTGGTGTGTGTGTGGGGGGGGGGGGGTCGCTGCCGCAGGGAAGGTCCCTGGGTCAGACCCCCGAGCTGGGGCACTGCTGCGGGGAAGCACACAGCACTGGCCTCCCTTGCCGGGGGCGTGGGCGTAGCCAGCCCCTCCGCTTCACGCTGTGCCCCCCCTCCCCCCCCAGGACTACGGCTACGTGCAGACCACGGCGCCGGATGTGCTGTGCAACTTCATCCAGACAGAGCCTGTGCACAGCAAGGGCTTCAGCCTGCTGGCCCTGGGCAGCGTCGGCCTGGTGAGAACAGCCCCCCCAAATTCCCCCCCCGTGTCCCCGACCCCCCAGCACCCCCTGGGCTTGGGGAGCCCAGTCCTTGAGTCCTCCCCCCGTCCCCTCTCCCTCCTCAGCACCCCTCTTGGCTTGGTGAGCACAGCCTCCGAACCCCCTGGGCAGCGCCCCCCTTCCCCCCCCCCCCCCCCCCCCCCCCCCCCCCCCTGGGGGGGGGGGCCCCCCCGACCCCCCCCCCCCCCCCCCCCTCCTCAGCACCCCCTGTTGGTGAGAACAGCCCCCGAACCCCCTCTTTGGAGAACAGCCCCCCCCCCAGACCCCCTGGGCTTGGGGAACCCAGTCCCCGAGTCCTCCCCCCGTCCCCTCTCCCCCCTTAGCACCCCCTGGGCAGTGTTGCCTTGTGAGCCCGGGCCCCAAATCCCCCCAGACAGTGACTGCCTGATCCCCCCCGCCCCAGACTGGGGGTCTCTCCCCCCCATGGCTGAGCTCAGGGCAGTGGCTCCTCCAGGGAAAATGTTACCCTGAGAGGGGTCAGGCCATGGGGTACCTGGTGCCCCTGAGCACTCCCCAGGGCCCCTCCTGCCCCAGGGCTCCATCCTGGGGCCCTGCTCTGACCCTGGCCCCTTTGGTTTCAGTTTGGAGCAGAGACGCAGCAAAGCAAAGTGGCTCCGAGCTCGGCCGCCAGCCGCCCTGTGCTGCCCCCCCACGGGGACCAGGTGAGACACCCCCCGAGCCCCCCAACAGTGAGCACTACCCCTTCCTCCGGCACGGAACAGGCCAGTTGTCGTGGGGTCCCCGGGCGATGCTCCGGAGCTGCTCCCTACGAAGCCAGGCAGGACTCTGGGGGAGTCTCCCCTCGGGGAGCAGCCTGTCTGCAGGACACACAGCTCCCCGGCTCCACCTTCCTGGGTCTGACCCCGGAGCCTTCAGCCTCCTCTGCCCCTCCCTGCGCCTCCCCCAGCGAGTCCACCCAGGCGGGGTCCTGGGGCAGCCAGAGGGTCCTGCCCCCCAACTCCGCAGTCAGACGGGACTCTCAGCCAGCCAGTAACACAGAAGGTTTATTAGACGACAGGGACACAGCGTAGGGCAGAGCTCGTTAGCACAGAAATCGGGGACTTTCAGCCAAGTCCGCCTTGGGGTGAAGGGAGCCCAAAGCCAGGCCTCTGCCCTCCCGCTGCGCCCCAAGCCAGCCGAGACCGACTCCTTTCAGCTGCCTGGCCCCTGCCCGGCCCGCTGCTCCTCCTCCGGCCTTTGTCTCCCTTTCCTGGGCCAAGAGTCACCTGGTTGCATCCCCCTCCTGGGTCTCAGGTGACGAAGAGGCAGCCACAGCATCCCTCCCTGCAGGCAGCTGGAGGAGCCCCCACAAAAGTCACACCCCCTTATTCCCACTCTCTAGACATTGGTGCAATACACAGGGAAACCGAGGCGCACACAGCATTCATGCGAAACAGTAAGATTCACATAGGCTCACATACAACATAAGGGAAAATCCCCCCTACGTCACACCAGCCCCTCCGTGGGGGGCAGGGGAAGGGTGCACGGATCCACCTTCCCCATGGTGGGGGGGCAGGGCCCCACCCACAGCGGTCACTCAATGCCCAGCCATCTCTCCCCCCAGGGCGCGAGGAACGAGGTGTTTCTGGACGTGGTGGAGAGGCTGACGGTCATCATCGCGGCCAACGTGAGTCAGGGGCAGGAGGGGGAGGTGTCCAGCGGAGTCCTGGGCCCCAGTCCGCAGCCCCACATCATGGATCCACAGGGTCTTAGTAATGCCCCAGCCCCCCACCCCCCAGCTGGGGCCTTGTCCCCACCACGCTGGTTCATTGTCTGGGACTCACCCCCGTCCCCTGCTTCCCGCCCAGGGCACCCCCATGAAGGCTGACATCCAGGGAGAAATCCGCCTCAAGAGCTACTTGCCCAGCTGCCCCGGTGAGTAACGCCTGCCGCCCCGTGAGCCTGCGTTGGCGGACGCGGGCCAGCCGTGGGGGTTTAACGTCAGTGTAGACATACCCCCTGCGCGGCGGGAGCAGGGCGTGGGGCAGCTCTCCCCTGACGCTCGCCCCTCTCCCCGCAGAGCTGCGCATCGGGCTGACGGAGGAGTTCTGTGTGGGGAAGTTGGAGCTGCGAGGTGAGTGGCCGGACACAGGTCTCTGCTCCGCCTGGTGGGGGCGCCCTGGCTCTGACCCCCCCCCGCCAGCTCTGACCCCCCTCCCCCGCCGGCTCTGACCCCCCCTCCCCCCGCAGGCTACGGCACCGCCGTCCGCGCCGACCAATGCGCCTTCCACAGCTCCGTGAAGCTGGACGAGTTTGAGAGCAGCCGCATCCTGAAGGTCAATCCCAGCCAGGGGGAGGTGAGCCCCAGAGCCTGGCCTGACCCCTGCCTGCAGCTGGGGGCCCAGCCCCCGGTGTGGCCCTGGGGGGCCCGGCCTGACCCTGCTCTGCTCTCCCCAGCTCCCACTGATGCAGTACCAGCTGTCAGACGACATCCCCTCGGCCCTGCCCTTCCAGCTCTTCCCCACCCTGGAGCGGGACCCCACGGGCAGGTGAGTGAGGCTGCAGCCGGGAGCACAACGCCCCTCGGCCTAGCCCCTCGGCACTCACCGTTCCCATCTCCCCACAGGCTCCGTGTTTACCTCAAGCTCCGCTGTGACCTGGCGCCCAAAAGGTAAGAGCCCGGTGAGCTGGGGGGCTCCCTGGGGTGGGGATGGCCCCTGCCATCCATGCCCCCAGCCTCTGAGCTGGCTCCCAGGCTGCGGGGAGCCGCTGCCCTCCTGGCCCCAGTTCACCGCTTTCTCTTCCCTCCAGCCAGGCCCTGAACGTGCGAGTCCAGCTGCCGGTGCCGAAGGGGGTCGTCAGGTGGGTGACATGGGCTCCCAGTGGGTCTCCCCTCTAGTATGGGGAGCTGCATGCTGGGCGGGGCAGGGCGGGGGGGTTAGAGGCAGCCCTTCTCCAGCGGCTGGCGGGCCTGGGCCCAGAGACACCTCACTGGGGCCTGGCTCCGGCAGGGTCAGTCCCCACCCCTGGCTCTGTTCTCTCCCCCAGCCTGTCCCAGGAGCTGAGCAGCCCCGAGCAGACCGTGGAGCTGCAGCCCACCCTCAAGGCCATTCGCTGGGTGATCCCGCGCGTCCAGGGGGGCTCCCAGCTCTCCGCCCTCTTCAAGGTAAAGCCTGGCCTGGGGCGGGGAGGGGGGAGACGGCCCCTGGCCAGAATGGGGAGGGGTGGGGCGGGGCAGGGAGGCACACCCCAGTGCTGGGGAGAGAGTGGATAGCCCCTGCCCTCTGCAAAGAGGATGAGGGGCAGGGGCAAGGGGGTGAAGGAGCAGGCTGGGGCTCCCCTGTCGATGATGGGTTTTGAGGGGTCCCAACCCCACCCTTCAGAAGGGGGGGGGCGGGCCCTGCTCTGCCCTGGGCAATAACGCCCCGACTCTCCCTGCAGCTGGAGGTCCCAGGACTGAGCAGCTCCTCGCTGCTGGAAGTGGGGCCGGCGAACATGTCCTTCGAGCTGCCCATGCACACCTGCTCTGGCTTGCAGATCCGCTTCCTGCGTTTCACGGCCCCCCCAGCTGGGCTGCCCCACCGCTGGGTGCGCTACGTGACCCACAGCGACTCCTACGTCATCCGCCTCTGAGCCCAGCCTACCGCTGGCTGCGCTACGTGACCCACAGCGACTCCTCCGTCATCCACCTCTGAGCGCAGCCCCACCGCTGAGTGTGCTAGGTCATCCTCAGCAACGGCTCTCTCATCCACCTCCCTGGCCTGCATCCCCTGCCCCACGGCATTGTGCAGTAACTCCTAGGGCGTCCCCTCGGCGCTGCGCTCTTCCAGGCTAGTCACCTCCCCGCACACAGGACTCTGGCAATAAACAACTTTATTCATGAGTAGAACTAACCCCCTAACATCTGGAACAGCAGCCCGGTCAGGGCACCGACAGAGCCTGGCCGAGACCCATCGACCCAGACTCCCCAGGGTGCTCACCCCCACTGGGAGGCCGGTCCTGGAGCCGGGCCACAGAGAAAGGACCTGGTGTGTAATTCCCTGAGAGAGGCCCCGTTCCCGGACGGGTGGTCTCCTGCCTGCTCCAGCCACATCAGGGATCCTGCGGGGAAGAGATTCCCAGTAAGACTTGGCTCCCCCCACTGCAACACAGCAGGTGCCCCCTCTCCCCCGGCTCTCACACTTCCGTGCGCTCACCTCGATGCCGAGGATGGTGGAGTCGAAGAGGTCCCGGAGCTGCTCACCCTGGGAGCTGTGCGAGCGGATCAGCGGCTGGAGAGGCAAACGCCAGTACCTTAGTGCCCTCTGTGCCCCCCAGCCCAGCCCCTCCTGCCGCCAGCAAGCCAGCCAGAGTCCTGGCTGCAAGGTAGAGAGAGCCCCAGGGGAAGGGGCTGTGGGGAGCCAGGCCCCGGACGCCCCGCTGGACGCAGCTCATGTTAGGGTCATCCCCAGCCAGGCTGTGTGGAAGGGGCCTGCCCCAGTCAGGCCGGGGCTCACAGGCCCTCAACACATCACCAATAGCCCTTCCCGCCAGGGCTCCCCTCACCATGTCCAGTCCCTGGGGATCCTCCTCATCACTGCTCTCCTCCTGGATCACCATCTCCTCCTCCTCCTCCATCAGGCTGAGCCTAGGGGACACAGGGCAGGGTCAAGGGGGCTCTGGTCCAGAGAGGGAGAGCCGCCCCCCAGGACAGCGACTACTCCTCACCGGTCCATCCTGCTGCCCAGCCCAGGTCTCAAGGCGCTCCGGGGGACCAGGAGCTGCTGCCAGCCGGGGGATTCTCGGGAGCGCTGGGAGCTGAACCAGGGCTGGCTGCAAGGGACAGGAAGGCAGCAGGGTCAGAGCAGGTTAATCTGTCCCCCATCCCCGCTGGCTCTGCCCTGCCCCCCATGGGTCTCACCTCTGCACGAAGTCCGACTCGGACCCCTCCTCCTCCTGCAGCTGCGCTGGGCTGCCCGGCTGGCGCCCCCTTTTCAGCACCGTTGATGTGAGCATCGGGGTCTCCAGGCGGCTGCTCAGCTGGAGGCTGGAATGCCCTCGCTGAGACGAGTCTGGAACAGGAGAGAGACAGATGCCAGGTGATCCAGTCCTGGCCCCGGAGTCACCCCACTGTTCCCCCCGCTCTGCTGGTGCCCCCCAATCCTGACCCACATCCCCTGCTATCCCAGCCTTGGGCTCTCCACCCCCCCACTCGGTCTGCCAGTGCACCTCAATCCTGACCCGCAGCCCCCCACTGTGGTGCCAGCAGACCAACGTGCCCATGTCTCAGTCAAACACTGACAGCTACACAGCTGGAAGCTGTCCGGCTCACCTGTGCGTTAGTACTGGTGAAACTGGTATTAGAATGGTAAGAATATGTTTAGACTATGCTTGTGAGCGGCTGCCTGTATTAATCTCACATGTACCATCCATGTCCCACGTTGCATGGTAGCATTTGGGCCTGTGACTGTAAACCACCAGACAGGAGAGAGACATTAACTAGCGCTAGGGGCTGGGACGGTGCAACTGGAACTTCCCTAGGGACTGTCAGCAAGAGGACACGAGACTTCTACTGTTCTGCACTCTTCCCCAGGAAGGAGAGTCATGCAAGCGGACTCCCAGCAGGTGAGCTTGCAGCTCAGAACATGGCCGGAGGGGAATAAAGCCCCTGACAAGAAGGAACTGATTACGCTGGAGGCGAAGAGTGTGATTGTAGACATGACTGGCTTACAGAGCTTGCAGACTATAGCAGCTTTCATTACCTTTTGAAATTTAAGATTGTAACTCATCTGTGTGGCTCTCTGTCGACTTGCTTTAGCCTTGTAAATAACTCCCTGGTTTCCTTTCCCAGTTTCACACACAGTTTATCATGGCTACAGGCCTTATCCTTGGTGCAAGCCCTCAGGTGGAACTGACCTAGGGTAAGGCCAATGGCATTTTGGGATGTATAGGTAGGGGCATAGCGAGCAGATCGAGGGACGTGATCGTTCCCCTCTATTCGACATTGGTGAGGCCTCATCTGGAGTACTGTGTCCAGTTTTGGGCCCCACACTTCAAGAAGGATGTGGATAAATTGGAGAGAGTCCAGCGAAGGGCAACAAAAATGATTAGGGGTCTGGAACACATGAGTTATGAGGAGAGGCTGAGGGAGCTGGGATTGTTTAGCCTGCAGAAGAGAAGAATGAGGGGGGATTTGATAGCTGCTTTCAACTACCTGAAAGGGGGTTCCAAAGAGGATGGCTCTAGACTGTTCTCAATGGTATCAGATGACAGAACGAGGAGTAATGGTCTCAAGTTGCAGTGGGGGAGGTTTAGATTGGATATTAGGAAAAACTTTTTCACTAAGAGGGTGGTGAAACACTGGAATGCGTTACCTAGGGAGGTGGTAGAATCTCCTTCCTTAGAGGTTTTTAAGGTCAGGCTTGACAAAGCCCTGGCTGGGATGATTTAACTGGGAATTGGTCCTGCTTCGAGCAGGGGGTTGGACTAGATGACCTTCTGGGGTCCCTTCCAACCCTGATATTCTATGATTCTAAGGGACTGGCCCTTCGGGAGTGGCAGTAACCTGAACACTGCTGTGATGCTGTGACATAGCTAAGCCCACCTGTCCCTGAGGGGCCTTTCTGTGACTCTGTTACCCTGCCTGAGGAGCTGCCCTGAGACTGGCGCTCACGCTTCGGACTAGTCACTGCAAGCAGTGTTACACCTGCCATTTCCTAGCAGGGACAGCAGCGTGTGGCATTTGCCCCTCACCATCCAGACGCCTCCTCTTGGCTGCGGTGCCGGGTTTCCTCCGGGGTCGGGGAGCTGCAATCCGGCTGGCGTCAGAGCCCATGTCATCCAGGGATCTCAGGGAGCGGCGATATGTCAGGAGTGGATTCCAGGCCTTCCCTCTCTGCTGTGGGGAGAGCCTGGCCTGGCAGGTCTGCTCCAGGTAGGACAAGCTGTGCGAGGGAAGGCATAAGAGCGGCCATACTGAGTCAGACCAAAAGTCCATCTAGCCCAGTATCCTGTCTTCCAACAGTGGCCAATGCCAGGTGCCCCACAGGGAATGAACAGAACAGGGAATCATCAAGTGATCCATCCCCTATCGCTCAATTCCCAGCTTCTGGCAAACAGAGGTTAGGGACAACATCCCTGCCCATCCTGGCTCATAGCCATTGCTGGACCATCCTCCAGGAACGTATCTAGTTCTTCTCTGAACGCTGTTATAGTCTTGGCCTTCACAACGTCCTCTGGCAAGGAGTTCCATAGACTGACTGTGCGTTGTGTGAAGAAATACTTCCTTTGGTTTGTTTTAAACCCGCTGCCTGTTCGTTTCATTGGGTGGCCCCTAGTTCGTGTGCTATGAGAAGGAGTCAGTAACACTTCCTTCTTTGCTTTCTCCACACCCATCATGATTTTATAGACCTCAATCATACCCCCCCTTAGTTGTCTCTTTTCCAAGCTGAAAAGTTCCTCTCCTCATACGGCAGCCATTCTGTACCCCTAATAATTTTTGTTGCCCTTTTCTGAACCTTTTCCAATTCCAATATGTCTTTTTTGAGATGGGGCGACCACATCTGCACATTCAAGAGGTGGGGGTACCACCGATTTATATAGAAGCAATATGATATTTGCTGTCTTATTATCTCTCCCTTTCTTCATGATTCATAGAATCATAGAATCATAGAATATAAGGGTTGGAAGGGACCCCAGAAGGTCATCTAGTCCAACCCCCTGCTCAAAGCAGGACCAATTCCCAGTTAAATCATCCCAGCCAGGGCTTTCCCAACATTCTGTTTGCTTTTTTGACTGCCACTGCATGCTGAGTGGATGTTTGCAGAGAACTATCCCTAGTGACTCCAGGATCTCTTTCTTTAGTGGTCACAGCTAATTTAGACTCCTTCATTTTATACATGTAGTTGGGATTATGTTTTCCAATGTGCATCACTTTGCATTTATCAACACTGAATTTCATCGGCCATTTTGTTGCCCATACACCCAGTTTTGAGAGATCGCTTTGTAACTCTTCCCAGTCTGCCTGGGACTTAACTATCCTGAGTAGTTTTGTATCATCTGCAAATTTTGCCACCTCACTGTTGACCCCTTTTTCCAGATCATTTATGAATATGTTGAATAGGACTGGGCCCAGTACAGATCCCTGGGGGACACCACTATTCACCTCTCTCCACTCTGAAAACTGACCATTTATACCTCCCCTTTGTTTCCTGTCTTTTACCCAGTCACTGATCGAGGAGGGGACCTTCCCTCTTATCCCCTAACAGCTGACTCTGCGTAAGAGCCTTTGGTGCGGGACCTTGTCAAAGGCTTTCTGAAAATCTAAGTATGCTATATCCACTGGATCCCCTTGTCCACGTGGTTGTTGACCCCCTCAAAGGCAGGTTAACCCTTACAGCATGGGGGCCACTGCAATCACCCCCCCAAGCACTCCTGAAAGCCCAGTTGTCCCCCCTCCCCAAGGAACTCCCACCCCCACTGGCCCACCACCCTGGGCACTCACAGCAGTTTCTTGTCCGGGCGCAGCAGGCGGGGAGAGAATTCGCTCAACACCTCCAGGAAGGGCAAGTTGAGGGGCCCCAACTCTGAGCCTGAGGGTGCTGGCTCCTGGAAGGCAAACTTGATCCCAGCCCTGGGCAAGAGAGAGAAAGAGAGACGGGGAGCAGGATGGTGGGGAGACACACACCAAACCCTGCAAGTCCAAGTGCCAGCCATCCCACCCCCACGTGAAGTGCGGACCCCAGCATGCCCCTCCCCAATTCCTAGAGGCTCCAGGATCCCAGCATGCCCCACAGCTCTGCTCTGCTCCCCGCCCAGCCCCCCGTCTCACTTGTGCAGGGCGACCAGCGCCCGGCGATTGTGCAGCTGGTGCAGGCTGAAGAACAGGGAGAAGCGCCGTGCCAGGTCCCGGATCTCCAGGAAGGCCTTGCTGTAAACTGCGTCTGGGCCCTGCTGCAGCAGCAGCTCTGTCAGCAGCTGCGCAGGGGACAGAGAGTCAGACATGGGGCATGGCAGCCCGAGCCCCATCCCCCAGCCACCTCCCTACACAGACACACAGGGATGGGCCAACCTAAGGGCCTCCCCAGCCCCCCCACAGCATACACACGGATATGGATCAGTGACAGGGGCTCCTCTCTTCCCCAGGCAGCACTGGGCACAACCCCCTCCCTGGTACCTGCTGCAGGCTGAGGAGAAGGGTGCGGGCCCACTCATCCCGGTCAATCTGCCGCGCCCGGCTCAGCGTCTCCTTGATGATGTCCCCGTAATCCTTGTAGAACTGGAAGGGAGAGCAGGGTGGTGGGGGCCCCGACTGCCCAGCCCCGCCGGTGGCGAGTAGGGCTGCAGGCTTGTCACGGCTGCTGTGACTTTCCTTTGGGGCCAGGATTTTAAGAAAAACTCGCCTGCAGTAGCGGCGCCTGCCCGCAGGGCTGGGTTCAGCTTCCCACTCTGGGCGCTGCAACCTGGCACAAGGGGTCGGGCGCAGGCCAGGCCAAACCTCAGCAATGCTGCGGCCCCGTGTGCCAGGTGAGTCACAACACCTGCAGCAGGGAGCCGGGCGCAGTCCCAGACATTTGAGAGTCCATCCCCCCGATTCGCACCCCAAGCTCTAGCTGCCCACCCCTTAGTATGGTAGGAGCACCCCCGCCCTGTGCCGTGGGGTCCCTCCCATGTCTCCCCGACCTTGGCGTAGTGCTTGAAGACGTCGGAGGCAGCGCTCAGCTCCAGCACGTTGTAGAGGATGAGTTTGCAGAACCCGGCCAGCAGGTTGCGCTGTTGGTGTAGCCTCTCGATCCTCCCCTCACTGTCCTCCTCATCTGCAGAGGAGGGGTGGGGGGTGAGGCTTTTGCCCCACAGATCCCTCTCCCCATTTCTCTGTTCCCCCCTCCCTACTCAGCCCCCTTCCCCCAGCCTGCCTGTCCACTCTCCCGCCACTGCCCCCCGGTCCCATGGGGCGAGTACGCACCACTGCCCATGAGCTCGGCGTGGTTGAAGACGTGATCCATGAGGAATCCGGCCAGCTGGGACTGCAGGGCCACCTCGGGCCGGTACACCAGCAACTCCAGCGCCTCCCGCTCGCCTCGAGCCAGCTGCGGGCTGAATACCAGCAGCAGGTCACTCAGCAGCACAAAGGCCTGGACAGACAGAGGCAGAATGATCACCCACAAACAGCACTGCTGGCGGGGGCTCCCAGACCCCCTCCCCCAGCATGCCTGAGCTGCAGCCTGTCCAGCCCTCGGCTCCCAGCCCTTGTCCACCTCTCACCTGCTCTTGGACACTGGAGTCCATGTCGGTCAGGCAGCTCTGGCAGAGGGAGCAGAAGGAGGCGACTTTGCGCTTCAGGGCCAGCAGCTCCTTCTGGGGTAAGAGCAGAGGAGTCTGTGAGGGGCAGGAAGGAACCCGCAGGCCCCAGAGGCAGGGCCAGGGCTGCCCCCCACGCTGCCCTTCTTGGCAGGGACCTTCCCATCGGCCTCACCTGTGCAGGGACGGTGCCGGAGACATGAGCCAGATCCCAGAGGATGCTGAAGTGGAGACAGGTCATGGTGGGGATGACCACCTGTAATGGAAGCCCAGAGTGAGCATGTGGGGTAGCAGTCCCCCTCAGTCCCAAGCTGCCCCACTGCATCGCTGCTTCCTCTGCCTCCCCTCCCCTGGGTCCAGACAAGGGCATCCTCCGCCCACAGTCCCCCACACTGCCCGACAGGGCAAGGCCCCACCTGGGTTCCCGGCTGTGAGGAGGTGGCCAGGCTCCTGGCTCCCCGAGAGGCCCCCCAGTACCTGCTTGGGGAC